CAGCCTCACGGGCCCTACAACCTGCTGGGCTGGCGCCTGAGCACGGTGCTGGCGCTCGAGGTGCAGCGCCAGCTCGAGGCGGCTGGCAAGCGCGGTGTGCTTTTCCTGGTGCACGGCGACGTCACCAGGGTGCAACAGTGGGCCCAGCAGCGCCTCGGCGGCGACGCCGCTGACGGTGTCCGGGATGGGCTCGTGAACGGCGAGGCGGCTCGAGCTGAGGAGGGAGCTCAGGTCCTCGACGAACTCCTGGAGGCCGTCGCGGCGCACAAGTCTGACGTATCCCGGCCCTTCGCCGGCTACGTGAAAATCGTCCGCACCGGCGAGGATGAGCTGCAGTCGCTGGGACAGAGCGTGAGTTTCAGCGAATGCTGCTTTCTCTTATAACATCGTCGTGCACCGTCTTACCAGATATCGCGTTTCAGGACAAGGACCCCCACGTCAAGGTGCAGACCCTCGCGGACCGCAGCCTGGACAGCGAGGCGCTGGCCGCCTTCATCAACGAGAACGCTGCTTGGTCGCAGCTCGCTGGCGAGGCCGACCTGCGCCTCGCCATTAACCTAGCGAGCTCGTCGCTCTAATATTTAGAATTAGAATGGTTGATATTAAATGTGCATATTAATTTTTAAATACCTCCATTTATTTTCAAAACAATGGAAATCGCAACTCGTCCGATCCACTATTGCCCAAGCACTTTACAACATGATACCTTACACAACATTATTTCTCGTAAACGTCATGCCCGAAAAATTAACGTGGTTGAGCCACACTACTGGTTCTTCGCTATCATCACGACCAGTAGAGTGGGCTCAAGTTCACTTGCAAGCCGAGGACGCATACGCACACGCCGGCGGGGTAGGCAACCCAGCACTCCCGTGCCCGCAGTCGGCACTCCGGGCACCTCGGGCCTCTCGGAATCGTCCAGACAGGCTTTACCAGCAGTTGGCCACGCGCCCGAGCGATGCGCCCAGGCCATCCCTACAGTTGACACAACGCCGTGTAAAGAGATACAGTGGGGACACTCGGCCCCTCCGGGCATACCAGGGGATGTCCCAGTTTGGGCGACGCCATTACTAATAGTGTGTTTTGACTAACCGAGGAGGAAGAAGAGCGGGTAGAACTTAGGTTCCTGATTGGCCGAGCGCCTACCCCCTCTAGCAGCGTGACGTAGAGGCGGAAAGCTCTCGACTAATCTGTAACGTTTATGTTCTACCCGCTCTTCTTCTTCCTCCGTCATTCGGTACACACTATTACCCAGTACACCACCTGCCGCGCTCTACGCACGCGCCCGAGCTCCGGTCCCGATCGTCCCAGCTATTGGTACGTACTTCGCTCCGCCCGCAACTCCGTTCGGCGGTGGTGGGGCCTGCTTGGCCTCCAGGCGGCATTTGTCGGTCCTGCGGCCCAACATTCAAGTCACTGATAGTATTACTAGGTAGATGTACGCTAGACCACGTCTCACGTAACAGGCTTCGCGATATCTCACGAAACACTGTTGCGCTGCGACGCGCCTGGCATACATCTACCTAGGCATGCGGCGCTGACACCCGAGTCGGGTAGCGCCAAAATGTGCCCAATGATACGGGCCTCCGGCCCGTCAACAACTTCCCGTCACTTCGAATAAACATGAAGGGTTGTACATGTTTCGCTGGTTTTCGTCAAAAACTCCCTGTGGCGCCTAAATGGTTTAAGATAGAGCCAAACGGACGAAATTTTCGCCCAAAGTGCTCTACATTGATGATTGATGCGTTACCCTTTAGGAAACTGTAAAAAAAATATTTTTAAAAACATCACTTGTGGGACCTGTGGTTTTTGATTTTTTTTAAATCCAATTTTTGAGCTAGAATGCTCTTCTCCGAACTTGATCTGTCTTTTTATGTCACAAAACGACCCTGAAAATTTCAGGTCGCTAGCTCAATTCGTTCTCGAGTTATCGTGCGTACAGACAAACA